CTCCTTCCCTCGCCAAACTCCTAGCAAACCTTTTTGCCAACAAAAAAGAAGCCAAAGATGAACTTTCCAGGCCCATGACAGTCCCCAAACATTAGGACAGATCTATTTCCTGGGGTCACAGAGTGAAGACAGGATGCTAAAGTTCTTTCCCATATTCCACTTCCCTTAGGAAAAACAATAAAATCAGTTTGGTTTTTGTTAAGGAAAAGGCTGCGATTCCCAGAAGGAGCAAAATCCTTTGTGTTACCACTATTTCCCTCTTATTCCAGATACTGAAAGAACACTGAGGCTCCTTAGTCCTTTACTTCTCTCCTTGCTCCAAAGGCTAGTATTTATCCCTTCAGCTATCCCTCGGGCACTCTCTTGGGTTATGAGACCACCAACAGAAGCTCCCAGCAATCTCTGTAGGATAACACCTTTTTCTGAGAAATGGAGAAGGGAAGCAGATCTTGGTCTCCATTATACTTTGACAAGAACTGAAGAATTCAAGGATTAGGATTTGATGTCCTCTCAACTGAGCCAGTCAGGCCAGGGCCTGAGTGGGTGAGTATTTGAGAGGCAGTGGGTGGGTGAGAATACTAGGACATGTTCTTAATGGGAGTTGAGGAAATTTGGGGAATCCTGGGAACAGAATGTGCTGGACCAGGCCCTGAGCCATCCCCAAACCCCTCCTACTTCCCTAGTCACTAACTAGTTCCAGCTGTGGCCGATCCTGGCCATCACTTCCCATCTGGCTTCTAGGAATTCATGACTAATTAAAGGAGTGTGTGTGTGTATGGAGGGGTTCCTCTTAAAAACAGAGGTTTCCAGAGTAACAGCTTGGCAAGAACTCAATCCCATTCAGCCAGGGAAAGTTCCCTTTCTCATGGCTCCCTCAGGGCTCTGAGGGAAAAACAGCCAGACACATGTCTTTAGATCAAGTGCAGTGCCTCGGCCAGCCCTGACTTAGTTACAACTTACATTTTTCTCACTTTCAGTTTTCAGTTTGGGACCCCAGACTTGCCCTTTATATACTAGGATGTCCAGTCCTCCAAGCCACCAATTTGAGTAACAGTGGCTGTCAGAGGGGGTGGGCGATGATTGAGAGATTGGCTTCTCCCATGCTTAGAGACCTCTATGAACCTTTGCTCTCCACCCACAGCCCCATAGCCTCTGATCATTAGAAAATACTCTCAGAGTCTAACCTAATTGCTCCTGCAACAGTTTAACATATTTTAATTAAAAATAGTTCTGTACAAACTCTTCCACCACAATCTGTGGGAAGAGGGAAACCAGATTGTAGGAAGGGAAGAAGCAAGCCGAAGAACACAGTTCTTTCTCTCAGAATCAAGTTCTCTTTTTGGGGGCAGGCAGACCACATATCCTAACCCTTCACACACATTTCCACATCTCCCCCAGTGAGAGATGACAAATTCAGAGGGAAAAAGAGCTGGGTCAGCCTGGCTCAGGAGGTGGGGGCTGGCAGAAGGGGTGGTCATGATGCTATTATGGGAACAGAGTTAGTCATGCAGTCCTTGCACTTAGGCCCTGCCTGAGGCTTCTGGCTCTAGGGGGTTTTGTCTGGATGCTAGTGGAAACTCTTGGGAAGCTGCAAAGATCCTAGCTTGGGCTCGACTCTCTACTGCTTCCAGCTGTGTGACCTGAAGCAACCTGTTAGAGACTCAGTTTCCTTTTCTGTGAAAAGGTGGTAATAGCGGCCCTCAGAGTTGTTGTTGAAATTTAAATGAGGTAAACTGTTTGGCAGCTTTTACTATTTCACTCTATTCTCTTCTGGTTCCTTAGTTTCTAGAGTGTGGTTCCATTCCCCAGGGCCTTCTGAGTCCAGAGTGAGTGCCCACTCTGTCACTTCTCAAGATAACCACCTTTTCTCTCTCACTAACAGTAACATACACTCCTAAGCATCCTCACCACCCTTTTCTTTTTCTTATGTAAGGTGCCTAAGAGGAGTAATCTACTATCGCATTCTTCTTACTTTACTCCTTTTCCAGGTATCCTCCTGGTCTGTATCCTCCTTTCCCTGTACCACCGTCAGCGCCTTTCCCTCCCACAATTTCCTTACTATTTCCTATTGCTTTCTCTTCCATCCCAGCCAGTGTCAGGGGCTGAGGCTGGGCAGGCAATGCTGGAGCTGAACTCAGAGCCAGTTTCTTAGACAGTTTCTAAGAAAATACATCAAAATGTTACTAGTGGTTCTCTTCTGGATAGAATTTACTGATGGTTTATATTTTCTTCCTGTTTATTTTGGTATTTTTAAAATTTATTATAATGAGAAATGCATAACTTTTATTCAGAAAAAATACTTGAGAAAACTTTAATCAGAAAAAAATTATAATTTTCAAATGGCCCATGTTCTTTTCTCAAAAGAAGATGGACTGAGGGGTGGGCCGTGGAAGGAGGAAACAAAAGACAGGGTGGAGAAAGAGCCCTGCAGGGGGCTGAGCATGATCTAGTTCCTCAAGTTCATCATTTCCTGGGGGCATCAGCCTTGGTGGTGGCCTCAGTCATGGCTGTCACTCATCAGTCAGAGGCTCTCTGTCCTTCTGTGCCTGTCACTGGCCATTCGGGACTTAGTCACCCAATTGTTACCCAAATGACTACTGGGTAGGTCAAGGAGACCAGCATCATTGAGGGCAACAATATGAGTCAGGAGTATTCCCTTACCTCGATCCTGGGCTGTGAAGGGTTCCCCTGCAGCCTAGGATGTGGAGAAGGGCTCAGAATTGGAGTCCCACAGAGAACTCCTCTCCTTCCTTTGTATTGCTACTTCTCTGCATTTGAATGATATGAAAATGTGTGATGCATAAATAATGATGGAACCTTCCCTGGCTTCTAACTATTTAAAGAACCAAGCTCCAAGAGACAATGTGCATGGAAAGGGCATGGGTTATGGAGTCAGCAGAAGGATTTGAATATAGGCCAAACCAATTAGGAGCTCCATGTCTTTAGCCAAATTCCCCTCTCTGGGTCTCCATTTCCTCTTATAAAAAAATGGCCAGAATAATTCTCTCCTCATCGGGGGGTTGTTAGAATTAAATGAGATAATACATGAATCACCTCACACAAAGTGGGTTTTTAAATTTTAAGTTTTTCTCCTCTTCCTTAAATAGCATTCAAGATCCTTTAAACTCTGGTTCCCAACTGCTCTTCCAACTTGATCATTTATTTGACAAAGATTTATCAAGCACCACCTGAAGCATTGAGGTCGCCTGGGATAGTAGGCACTAGGGACTCAGTGGTGAATAAAGGAGCCTAGACCCTCAGCACTTAACTGAGCACAGCTCTGCACTTTTACTCGAGGCTTGTACTGTCCCGGTCCTTCAGTACTCTCTTATCTCATCCAACTGGTAGCCAACCTCTGAAGCTCAAACTTCCCACAGCTTCATTACTCTTAGAATGGGGGCACCTCCTGCCTAGCATCCTGGTTCAGCTCATTTTGATGCAGGACAAGGCAAATTTCCTCAAGTTGGGGGGACACCAAGCCCTGCACGGAGAGAAAAGGGTCCTTTGGTGGAGAGTGTGGAAAGAATTCAACAAACACGCCAAAGTTAGAGTCAAAAGGAAAGTTTATTAGAAAAGAGATAACGCTCCATAGACAGAGCATGATCTCCTCTCAGAGGCAGTGAGAGGGACAGTGAGAGAGACAGTGAGAGAGAGAGGGTAGAGGCACTGAGTGAGAGGGACCCTGAGTGTTCAGGGAATTCAGTTTATATGTCATTCTTTAGTTTCCATTTCCTTTGATATGGACATACAATGAGGAAGGGGAAGAGTATGTAGCAGTGAAAAGGTAAGAACCGCTGGCAGTTGCCTTTAACTGGCTGGTTCCCGTGGCTTTAGCCATACATAGGGAATGACTCTTGGTTCCTGTTTCCTCTTCAAGGTGTGGGGAATGGGTTGTTAGCAATCCCAGTAGAAATCTTCCTTTGTTCTGAAGGTGTCCTCCTGGCCTGGCTACAGGGCTGATCAGCATATTGCAGTCTCTGAATATGGCTTAATTAACGTTTTAATTCTCTTGCCTCCTCCTACAGTTAATTTCAGGTACCTGGGTTGGCCTCATTCTATTTGTAAGCTTCCTGTGTTCAGGCTCCTTCCCTTTGCTTCTTTGAGCCCTTTACTGCCACTCCATACCAAGCTCATTAAATTCTCGAAATCATGATTTTTTATTAAAGAAGGCACAAGTAGGCTTCAAGAGCATTCACATTCTCAACTTTGTCTTGAACGCAAAAAGCTAAGGCCTCATCTTTGATTCCTTCAACCTTCAAGAGCATTCACATTCTCAACTTTGTCTTGAATGCAAAAAGTTAAGGCCTCCTCTTTGATTCCTTCAACTGAATGAAGCCCAAGTACCTAAGCTGCTTCCTATCTCTTAGTTTTTATTTTTTCCTATTCCAGAGCAGACAGGGAGACATGAAGGTTGAAGATGAGAAGTTTGCTGCCCTGGCATCTCTGGGGCACAGGAATGTCCAGCTCCAGGGGCATGGTCCTAGTCTCTACAGATTCTGTCTCAGTAGGGTACCTGGGTTGGCCTCATTCTATTTGTAAGCTTCCTGTGTTCAGGCTCCCTCCCTTTGCTTCTTTGAGCCCTTAACTGCCACCCCATACCAAGCTCATTAAATTCTTGAAATCATGATTTTTTATTAAAGAAGGCACAAGTAGGCTTCAAGAGCATTCACATTCTCAACTTTGTCTTGAACGCAAAAAGCTAAGGCCTCATCTTTGATTCCTTCAACTGAAGCCCAAGTACCTAAGCTGCTTCCTATCTCTTAGTTTTTATTTTTTCCTATTCCAGAGCAGACAGGGAGACATGAAGGTTGAAGATGAGAAGTTTGCTGCCCTGGCATCTCTGGGGCACAGGAATGTCCAGCTCCAGGGGCATGGTCCTAGTCTCTACAGATTCTGTTTCTCAGTAGGGGTTAATGATGAATTACAACATATCTCTGGGCTGAGTCACCTCCCACTGCCACTCCCCCCAATTCCCCTCCCCTAAAGTTTTATAAAGAGGACCGGAGACTGGAGAGTAAAAAGAACTGGAGGTAAGGACCTCCTCTCCATCTTGCCCTGCTCCCCCAGGCTCCTAGAAGTTCCAGGGCAGAGGTCAAGGACAGCCCCTAGAGCCCCTGCCTGGTGGGACCATGAACTGGCAGCTACTGTGGCTGTTTTTTTTACTTCCCATGGCTATTTCAGGCCGAGCCCTGGGGCCTGCAGAGAAGGAGGCAGCAGTGGTGAGTCTCCTGGGTAAGAGAGACACAGGCCAGGGGAGGGATGAGAGTACTGTTGCATAGTCCCATCCAAGCTTCCCTCTTGACTTTCAGCCTGCCTGCCTTACCTTTCCTTCCTCTACTCCATGATCTACCCCTGCCCATCTCCCACTCCTTCTCATTGTTCCACCCGAGCTCCTTCCCTAAGATGCCTCTCTTTTGGTCCTTCCATGACTGTCCTCTCCTATCCTCATGGGCCTGTTAGGTCACTTAGAGGCTTTATCCTGAGGCTAATCCCCTTTTTATTCTGCTATCCCCTATCACCATCATAGGATTACCTTTTGCAATATGGGTACCTACAGAAGCCTCTAGAAGGACCTGATGACTTCAGGCCAGAAGATATCATGGAGGCTCTAAGGTGAGAGGTCATAAGGCACAAGGTTTTCTTTCTTGCTTCTCATCCTTTCCTTTCCCCAGGCCCTCTTCTGCCTGACCCAAATCTGTGTTGGGACCTTGGGAATGGGTGGCTATCACTGTTAAGGTGGTGGGCATGGAGTGAGATGGGGATTCAAAGATTAGGAGCGCAGTTATTAGATCTTTTGAGGCCCTAAGCACTCCTTTGCAGGCTTTGCATTGTATTCAAATACTAATGTTGAGTCAAGTCCACATGAAGTATAATTTATATGTAAACTGTGAGCTGAGTTGGGTTGTTGACATGACGTTGCCTTTGCTGATACTTAATTCATCATTTATTTATTTCTATTTTGAAGTTTTCTTTTTACATTTTGCATCAAATGGGTCATTTTCCTTTTTGCTCTCATATATGTTCATCATCCCTTGAAAAGTCACAGTGTCTGCTGTGCCCAATGTATGAAATTGCTCCAAATCAGGCTGGGCTGGGAAGAGGGTCCAGCCAGGAGGGGAGAAAGCTGAAGAACAGGACAGGCCCTCAGGTGGGCACATTGGTGGGAGAGTCTCCAGAGCAAGAGGGCAAGACACTTCCCCAGAGCAGCAGGTTAGCTTATAATGGGGGAAGAAGGCTAGACTTGAGGGGAACCTTACTCGAATAAGAGACTAGAAATGAGGAGGTGAAGTTGGAATATCACCATTTCTGCAGAAGAGAAAAGAAAGTCCCAACTATGGGCAGTGGATACTGAAGTAACACCATCAGCTTCAGAGATTCTGTGCCTTCTCAGCTATCACCTTGATCAACAGGAGGCCAAAGAGCTATTCCTGATTCTCAGTCATTCCAGATCCCCTGCCTTGTTGGGCCTATTCTTTTCTCTCTTTTCAGAGCTTTTCAGGAAGCATCTGAGCTGCCAGTCTCAGGTCAGCTGGATGATGCCACAAGGGCCCGCATGAGGCAGCCCCGTTGTGGCCTAGAGGACCCCTTCAACCAGAAGACCCTTAAATACCTTCTGCTGGGTGAGGGCTGAGCCTGGAAAAGGAAGAGATGGGAAAGGGTGGCATGGAATTGGGATAGCCTGGACTAGCTCAGTGTTGAATGGATGATCACCTGGTGATTACCTGATCATCACTTGCCTGGAGGGGTTGTTACACAGCTTTGCTCAGTGAATGCACAAATTCAGGGGAGCTCTCTGGGGTTGGCAGAAGGACCTGTGTTTCCAATCTATTTTCTGGTCCAACAACCAGGCCGCTGGAGAAAGAAGCACCTGACCTTCCGCATCTTGAACTTGCCCTCCACCCTTCCACCCGACACAGCCCGGGCAGCTCTGCTTCAAGCCTTCCAGTACTGGAGCAACGTGACCCCCCTGACCTTCCGGGAGGTGCAAGCTGGCTGGGCTGACATCCGCCTCTCCTTCCATGGCCGCCAAAGCCCGTACTGCTCCAATACCTTTGATGGGCCTGGTAGGCACCAGCTCTTGGCTCCCACCAAACAGACCTCTGAGATTATCTCTGTCCCCTTGAGCCAGGGACTCCATAACTTTAATGTTCAGGCTGCCCCCTATGTCCAACTGCACCCTACACTCTCTAACTATCTTCTAACATTCCCTTGAGGAGAAGTTGGTCGCCTCCCTGTGGACCTACAAGCCTCCTCTTTGAAGCTTATGCCTTCTTCCTTGGTTTAAGTTCCTCTGCTCAACACACACCCCAGACAGGACTGGGCCAGAAAGGAGAGAGTGGTTGGGAAGTAAAGTGACAGGGTGATGGGCATCCCTGGGAGAACTGGGTGATGACAGGGGAATCTGAAAGGAGAAAGAGAAGTGTTGAAGAAACAGTGACTATAGATGGGGTAATTTTAAGGGAATGAAGTAACTGGAGTTTATAATAGGTAGGGGAGCTCCAAGCCTAGGCGACTCTGACTTCCTTCCTATCTACCTTTGCCTTTGTCCAGGGAGGGTCCTGGCCCATGCTGATATCCCAGAGCTGGGCAGTGTGCACTTTGATGAAGATGAGCTCTGGACCGAGAGGACCTACCGGGGAGTGAACCTGCGTATCATTGCAGCCCATGAACTGGGCCATGCCCTGGGGCTTGGGCACTCTCGATACACTCAGGCCCTCATGGCCCCTGTCTATGCTGGCTACCGGCCCCACTTCAAGTTGCACCCAGATGATGTGGCAGGGATTCAGGCTCTCTATGGTTAGTCCTTTTCCCTAGTGATCATAAGGGGCAGTCTGACCAGCCTCCTTACAGGCTTGAAAAGGCAGGTCTAACCTCCATGGCGGGAAATGGCTTGTTTTCTTACTCTTCCTTCTGCTCAGTTATTCAGGCTTCTATTTTCAGGAGATATTTTCATGATACTTCCATGTCTAATCTTCCTTTGGGGCCTCTTACCCCTCACACCCATTCTTGGGGATAAGAATGAAGATTTCCCACAAACCTTCCCATTTTCTGTTGCCTCTCAAAACTAAAACATGCCTCCTGCTGATATCAGTATGAAATTGCTGCCCACCAAGGGGAGCTCTGTAGGCTCCCCTTTTCCCCTCTATGGGGCCTTTGAGCCAAACTTACAGGAGAGTGGGGAGGGCAGATGCTATGAGTTCTGTCTCTGAGCAGCATTACGTTACTTTGCAGGCAAAAAGAAGCCAGAGATGGAGGATGAGGAAGAAGAGATGGAGCTTCCCCCTGTACTCCAAATTCCCACAGAACCCAGTCCCATGCCGGACCCCTGCAGTGGTGAACTGGATGCCATGATGCTGGGTGAGGCCCTTCCCCTCCAGGCGGTAGGCAAGCAGTGGGGGCAGCCTGTTGACCTTGAGACCTGGACAAATGGGAATGACATGGGGCCTCAGAACGAACAATGGAGGTTAGACACCAGGCAGGAGTTAGTGGTCAGAGAAGGAGGCATGTGGCATGGGAAGGGAGTGTTCATAGTCAAATTAATGATGGGCCAGGCAGGCATTTACCATGGTTGCTATCCTATAAGGGCCACTAAAACACATCTGTAAATACAGCAAGATGGAGTAAACTATATTAACTGTCTATTAGAAAGTGTATTATACCTGCATGGAAGGACAACTTAGAAGTCACTTGGAGTGGAAAGTGAGGTCCCTAAAGTGAGAGCAGCTATCTGCAGGGCTTTTGTTTTGCTGAGTAGATGAGAACCGAATTGCTCTGGACAACAAAGGAGAGGCTGAACAGTGGGTCCTTCTCTACCACGTTAATCTTGAATTAAAGTTGAATGAATTTTTGAGGAATCGGCTGTGTGGGACGAGGGCAAATTATCAGCCTGCCTGATACACACAAGTCTTTTTAACTTGTTGACATACTTTTGCTCTCAGGGCCCCGTGGAAAGACGTACGCCTTCAAAGGGAGCTACGTGTGGACTGTGACAGATTCAGGGCTGGGTCCCTTGTTCCAAGTGTCTGCCCTTTGGGAGGGGCTCCCAGGAAACCTTGATGCTGCTGTCTACTCTCCTCGAACACAATGGATTCACTTCTTTAAGGGTAAGGGGATTAGTTTACAGTGTCTTACCTGAGGAGGCCCTACCATCAAAGAAGCCATAAAAGTGAGGAAGAGATGAGAAGTTTCTGAAAGGGTGGAATGGAGGAACCAAACGTTATCACCTGAGGACAGAGGTGTCTTGTTCTTTCTTTACATGCTCTCAGGAGACAAGGTGTGGCGCTATATTAATTTCAAGATGTCTCCTGGCTTCCCCAAGAAGCTGAATAGGATAGAACCTAACCTGGATGCAGCTCTCTATTGGCCTGTCAACCAAAAGGTGTTCCTCTTTAAGGTAAAAAGTTCAAAGCAAGGGTGAATCCCTTCTTAGGAGGAGTGGGCTACCTCACACCAAGAAGCCAAGACTTGCTCCTGAAGGGAGATCTGCAGCTGCAGTGGGCTGAGGGTAGATCTCTGGGGTCCCTAAGCTCTCATCCTTCTCTTCTCTCTACCCACCCCACCCCTAGGACTCTGGGTATTGGCAGTGGGATGAGCTGGCCCGAACTGACTTCACCCACTACCCCAAACCAATCAAGAGGTTGTTTACAGGAGTGCCAGACCAGCCCTCAGCTGCTATGAGTTGGAAGGATGGCAGTGTCTACTTCTTCAAGGGCAAACAGTACTGGCATCTCAATCGACAGCTTCGAGTAGAGAAAGGCTACCCCAGAGATATTGCTCACAACTGGATGCACTGTCATCCTCTGACCCCAGATACTACTCCATCAGGTGGGGACACCACTCCCTCAGCTACAGGCATTGAGCACTCACCCACAGGAACAACTTTGGTTACCACTTCCTCGGCCATAGATACCACTTTGAACATGGACCACTTGCCCAGAAACACAATCTTGGACACGATCCCCTAAGCCACAGGCTCTACCACCCTTTCATTCCCCGGTAATTTCACCCTCTGAGAGGCCTAAGACCTGAACAAATGTCTGCTCACTAGACTGCAGGTGCTGCAGCAGGGGAATGGACCATAGACCTAAGGTCTCTAAATGTCCCAGCTCTAGCCACGACTTCCCTGTGCTCTTTCTCTCCTGGGCAGTGACTTCCTAATTCTGGGTCAACTCCCAACTCTATCCATTTCTTCTGTCCTAGATAGCACTTCCAACTGTGTTATCTACTCTTTGGAAAACAGTGGTAGAGAGAAGGTCTCAATTAGGGCTTTAGCTGACAGGAAGCAACAGCTGGGAAGCTGAATGCCTGGGTGCTGTTCATCCCAGATAAAGTGCAAGAAAACAGCATGGCCAGTAGAATGAGCGAGGGCTTTGGAATCCTTAAGAATGACATTTGCTTATTTATAATTTGAGGAGGTTAATTAACCTCGTTGAGCCTCTGAGTCCCCATCTGCAAAATAAGATCGATACTAATCCTGCAGCGTTGTTGCATTAAATGAAATACTACATATGAAGTGCCTGGCACAGTGTCTGGCACACGTGTGCTTAATAAAGGCTAACTCTGTGTTTACAAGGGAGACTGAACAGCTCTTCCTCTGGCTGTGTGTGTATAACTCCTACAATAGCCTAGTCTGCTAAAGGAACCCTTATCAGATCTTTAGTGGATAGAGGACTTGTCAATATGGCTAACTCTTTGTTTTAGAGTGCAAAGAAAAAGAAAAGCAACAGTAGAGGCTGAACTCTGTGGTTCAGTGTTCAATGCCATTTTATTCACATGCTCCCACATTCTTCCTCCCTCCTGTCATACCCTTGCTGCCCAGGGGAAGGATATGTCTTCCTTCATGCTTCTGGGGAACTAGAGAACTGACTTTGGGCAGGAAAATCAGAGTGGGGACAGTTAGAATGGGTTAGTGGCTGGGACAAAGTCTTGGTTAAGGAGGAGATTAGCATCACCTACAATGAGAGGCAGAGAAGGCACTTGTCTTCCACGCAGCCCCGAAGACCAGACTCCTTTGGGCAAAAGGGCAAGATTCTGACATGTGGGCCAATGCTCTCTCTTTAGAGCAAGAAGCCAGCTTTTGGGGGAGCTGAGGGCTGAGTTAGGCACGGTCTCACGGTCTTCCCCACGTCAAGGAGAGAAAGAGAAGCACCATGGAGGACAGTACCCCCAACTGAGGTAGGAGAAGGGAGCTTGAGCCTATGGGGTCGAGGGGGAAAGGCTAATCAGGAACCCAACTACCCCTTAATGAGGGGCTTGGGGATTGGGGGATCCTGGAGCTCCTCTGTGCCCCTCTCCCCATCAAAAAGCTATCAAATGCTTTAGGAGGTTTCTTGATTTTTTATAGCTCCTACAAAAACAAAACTCCTTATTTTACCATTGTGAGGCACACTGAGGTGGATATATAAAAGGCTATTTGGGTAAGGGACTCCCTTGGTTTGGAGGGAATTAGGGAATCAGTTACTTTGGGGACCACGGCACCTCTATTATTAGACAGAGGTGGCTACTCATACTTCTATTTGTCTCCCCTCTCAAGATTCCTCTCTATCTGTCCATGAAACCTATCCCTACAGGGCTGGTCTAGGTTAGAACACAGATTCTATCCCCAAGTCCAAGAGGTGGGGAAGTTTGTGTGTGGGTCCTGTGGGCTCAGGCCCTGCCCACCTAGGGTTCCTAGGCCCTTGCTAGAGGTGGCAGCACAGTGGAGGTTTAGGCTCAGGTCTGGGTAGAACCAGAAGGTGTGGTGAGGGGTACAGTGGAACCACAGTCAGAATCCAGGTCCAGGACGGTGTGGGGGGCTGTAGCCTGGCTTCCTGGTCCCAATTGGCGCTCTCGAAGGCTCTGGAGATAACTCTGGAGGGGCATAGGGCAGAAAGGGCAGAAGGAAGGGCCTAGGTCAGTCTCCCTCCCACCCTAACCATCCCCACGTGCTCTCTGCCCCATCCCTCAGAGTGCCCCCTCCCACACACTCACTGGAGCCAGACTGTCAGCAGGGCTCCGGGTGTTTGGGGAAAGCTGGTGCCGGTAGCTGCCCTCACAGAGCCCGGCCCCAGGGGAGGTCCGGTGCCACTTGGCCTCTTGCTGACGAATCCGAAGGAGTTGGAGATGCCTTCGCTGGTGGCTCAAGACCACTGCTTGGGAAGGGACAATACAGACTCAGGGAAGTCTCTTTGGACCCCGAATACCACCCCTAAACACACACTCTAGAGAAACCCATTTGATTTCTATTTCAGTTCTATCAAACCTCTCTTCCCCCAGTTCTTCTAAAAGAAACTCTTTCTTGGAATCTTTATACTCTCTCCTCTTGGACTTCCCTGAGATCTTCTTCCATAACAGTCTCCAATAACTCTTCCCTGCTCCCCTTGACAATTTCTCTTCTCGTTCTTACCGAGACCTTGGGATAGCTTCCTTTCCCACTCTAACTTCCTTTCGATGCCCTGCCTTAGACACCTCCGCCCTCCTCCCTCAAGTGTATTTTCCCCCTCCCCCTCCTCAAGTCTGGGGACCAGGGATATGAGAAGGCACAGGCTGGCTGCTTCTGTACCATGGCACTAACTCACCATTGGCGTGGCCTCCATGTTCCTCATCCATGAGCTTCCACTGAGCCAGGGCCCCAAGTGCCCCCAGGGCTGGCCAGGTCCCCAGCAAGACCCAGCTATACCAGCAGAGAGGAGGCAAGGCTGGAAGTGCCTGCAAGCGTTGGCCCAGCCGACTGCCCAGTGCCAGCCCTTCCAGGAAGTAGTCAGCACAGGCCACTAGCACTGCAGCACCCAGCAGGGCTGTGCCCAGAACTGTGAATGGGCGTGGCCACCGAAGTGTGAGCAGGGCTCCCAGCAGTGACAGCCCCACCAGCCCCCCGGCCGGCACCCAGGCCGAAGGTGGTTGGTAGATGGGCTCGGTGCCCAGCAGGGCCCCGGAGCCCAGGGTTAGGCCTAACAGGAGACCAGTCAGGAAGAGCCCAACACTGCGAACCAGCATGGTGACTAGGCCGCAGAGGAGTCCGATGCCCAGTGCAATGCCGGCGCTCACCTCCAGGCTCAGCTGTGTCTCTAGCACTCGCTCCTTGTGGCAAAGCAGGAAGATCACCAGAGCTCCTGATAGTAGGCCCGAAAGAAACATCACTGCCTTGAAGCAGCGGTAGCCTGGGAAGGGAGGCAGGAGACACTGAGAGGCAGAAAGGTGTGTGTGGGGGAGTTGAGAGGAATGGCTCTGATGAATTAGAAGGGAGAAGAAAGGCTAAGCAGAGGAGCAGCGCACCCAGGGACCTCAAGGCAAGGGGCAGAAAAGGATAACCTCAGGGAGAACAGACTTCAGGAACTGTGAGGGGATGGCAGGGAAAATCAAGAGGTAAGATGGATGCATCAAAGGAAGTAAGTATAGAAAAAAAGATCTAGTCCTTTCAGGGATGATAGATGGAAAGAAATCAGCATAGGCTGATTCAGGTTATTTGAGAAGGGTGAAGAAGCCTTAAGCATGGAGGATAACTTGGGGATGGAGTTTTGAGGTAGGATGGAAGGGGAAGGCAAGTGAGAGTGACAGGGGTCAGAGCTGGAAGGCCTGGGCATAGAGGGACAAGAAGAGCTCACAAGAGCAGCATGGGCCATACCAAAGGTAGGCATCCCCTGATAAAGGAGTAGAGGTGGCCCAGGAGCAAAGGAGAAAGTTAACATCATCCTGGAGGGCAACAGTCTCGGGCAGCTGCCCCCCCAAACCCTAGCCCTGCCCTCACCGAAACAGCAGTAGATGATTCCAAAGCAGCAGCAAAGAGCACACACCAGGGCAGGTGCCAATTCAGGGTTGTCCTGGGGTTCCAAGACACATTTTGGGTCTGGAGGCTCTGGGAGTTGTTGATTAAAGAGCCTGGGGTCAGAGGTCATGGTCAGGGGCACCAAGGCTTCCTCCACGGCTGAAGAGAAGGTGGTCACAGAGGCGGAAGTCATTGTCAGCTCTTCTCATCCATCCATGAATGTCTTGAGGGGGTTGAGAAACCTGCAAGGGGGTAGAGGTCAGGAACTCAGGTGCCCGTGAATCTCGAGGATTCTTTATCTATTTCTTTTGAAGAAAGGACAAATTCAGGAGAGAGCATAGCCCTGCTGGGGTAACTGAAGAAATCTATGAGATTGGGTGGAGGGAGCCAGCTGTCTTTATTCCTCTCTGAAACAAGGACCCTAAGTAAAACTTAAATGAAAATCTAATAAGGTAATGAGCTTTTGTCTGCCCCCTAGCTTTGCAGGGTGGGGTGGGAGGAGTAGGAAGTCCTAGATCTGTGGAGGGATGGGTCCAGGGGCACTAGTGGGACTGGGGGCTAAAGGCTCAGCAGTCTGTTCCAGCTGAAAGGAAAGCTTGCCCCATCTGCAGCTGGGAATCAATACTACCCCCACTGAATTGGGAAGGATGGGGTTAATAGGGGGAGAAGGAGGAGAAAGAGGAGAGAATGAGTCACGGTGGGGTCTCCCAACAGCTGCTCCAACACTGGGAGGTAGAGGGGAAAAAAACAGACTCCAGAAGAGTTTGGGACAGGGATCAAGTAGAGACGATCACCCACATTTGTCAGAGTTTTGAAGCCTGGGCTTCCTGCAGGAATGGAGTTGGGGGAAAAGGCGTCCAGCCACAGTCCAACCTCCATGGCTCCTTATGGAATAAGCAGGCACTTTGAAGGCAAACATCTCACATCCTGGTAGCCTTTTGCTCTTCCCCTCAGGACATTGGTGGGACTCCCCCCCTCCCCACCCTCCCCAGGGGTGTCAGGGCTGCCAGTGAGATTTGATTTTAGTTCCTGAAAGGAGAACACTAAGAAAGATCTGGCATTGGGGGCACTGTGGGAGTGGGGTAGGGTGCATGCTGGCACTTTCCATCAGCTGTCCTTCTTTGGAACATCAAAGTCCTAACAGGCTGGAAGTTTGGCTTAGGGAATCCCTGGGGCTCCTTTCCTCAATCCTCTTGGAAGTCTGGGGACCCTAAAAACAAGAGAGGTTGGGGAGGAGGTGTTAACTACTCACCACCCTGCCAGGGCTGAGAGAGGAAGCGGGTAGAAATGCTTCCCTAGACCCCCAGCTGCATCCCTGCCCGGAGGTCCTAGGCGTCGGGGCGGCTGTCGGGCGTGGGCACCCCCAGGGCAACTCTGTTCGTTGCCCCCTAAACTCTTGCAAGTCGTAGCCCTAGCCTGTGAGCTAAATACAACCAGCTTGGGGGGTGGAGGAAGGGGACAGGGTGTGGGGGGGTGACATCACGGGGCGGGCCCCTCCAACTCTTTTCCCTGTGTGTGGGGGACCCAGTTTGCCGACTGCTCTGGGCTGGGACCAGAGATCGCCCAACCATAGCAGGAAAGGGTCCTAGGGGCACTGCAAGAGGTTTGGAAAAAGGTCTCTGTTTGCTTAGGCGATGACTCGACAATTGGAAGCTCTCAAAGCCCCAACTGGGGTCCCAGCGCCCCCCTAGCTCCGCCTTGGTTTCTTCCACTTCCCAGAGAATTAGAGTATTGTCTTCTGGAGAACCTGGTGGTCGGAATTGGGGATTCGGGGAAGGGGCTTTTACTGCTTTGGGGACGCCGGCGAGGGGTTCATGGGTGGACAAACTTGCGGAGCACGACGGAGTCTGGAAGGGGGACTAACGAGAGACGCGTGTGTAGAAGAGGGGACCGACGGAGAGGGGACCCGAGCCGGGTCTGCGTGGGGGCGGGGGCGCGTGTCGACGTCGACCGAACAGCTTGGTATGCAAACGAGATGTAAAACAGCATGCAGATGAGTGCAGTGTTTTTTGGCACTTCGCTCAGGTCCTGAGCCCAGCGGAGCTACACTCCCAGTTTCTGGGTCCCATTCTGTGACGGGGCTTGGGAGCTGTGTCCAGAGGGGCGGATCCTGGCCGTGGGAGCTGCAGTTTTACGGGGCACTTCGCCAGCTGGGTCAGGAGCTGGGGAGGCCGACGGTTGCTGGGAAAGAAGGGGCAGCGCTAGGGGGACCAGGGCGGGGGCCAGCCCGGGGCGTCCTCCCCTCGCTCCACCTCCGCATGATACAAAAGGGCCTCTGTCTTCCCTACAGCCAGCAGGGAAGGGATCTGGGTGGTGGCCCCTCTACGCTCCCTGGTTTTGTGTGTAAGGGAAACAGACTGTGGCTCGCTGGCTGTCCTCTATCTCCTAGTCTCGGCAAAGCATAAGAATCCAGCCAGAGGAACCCTGAGAATCTGTCCCCTGTCTGCAGGCACTGCTGCAGCGCCCATTTGCTTCGCTTCCAGAGTTGCAACCCGCGGGGATCCCACTCCAGCACGCGGAGGGCGGCAGCAGAGGGCTCTTTAAGGGGTGGGGCCAGTGTTTCCTAGGGCCGCCTCCTCTGATTTGACTTAGTGCTTGCTAGACTGGCTCGCGCCTCCACCAACCGCTTTTTCTTCTTCTTCCCGTCTCTTCCCTGATCCCGGATGTGGAAGCAGGGGTAGGTCAGTGGCCGCGGCGCGGACGGAAGGCGGAAGCAGAGCGTGAGCGGGAGTGGGAGCCGGGGGAGCTGCTCTCGTAGCTCCCCCTGGCCCTGGGCCCGGCTGATCGAGGGGGAGGAGTTACCGCCGCTCTTCGGTACGTCACCTTCGTCTCCTCTACCCAGCCCAAGGGTTCCCTGGCCCTCTGTCTCAGGGGCAACCCCAAGCTCTGCCCCCAGGTTTTCCTTGAAGGCTGCGCGGTCCCCACCCTTTTCTGGCAGCCTGCGGCCCCCCTTTTCGATCGTCTTTCCTTTTTTTACAGGAGTGACCCCAGGGCCACACCCTTTGCCGTACCTCCTTCTTTCTCTGATTCAGGACCATGTCTGGAGAGAGAAAAAAACTAGGGATTTGCAGGATGGGGCAGGGAGCAGTGTTGTGGTTAATATAGTATTGGCTTATTGCTAGGGGTAACGAATGCCTCAGAAGAACTGGGGAAAACAAGGGAGGTGGATGCATTAAATATATTACTAATTTAAGATTGTTTAACCCCTTGGTCTTATCCTTGATCATCCCCACTTTTATATTTTTGTTACAGGCATCAGAATTTACCATGATGGCTGTTACCTAAAATCCTCAGGAAGACCCGGGGTCATGGCCCAGAAGCACCCCGGAGAAAGAGGGCTGTGTGGAGGCCACCACAGTGGTGGTTCCTCCCTCAGGACGTTAGGACCCTCTGTGGACCCTGAAATACTTTCATTCTCAGGACTCAAGGACTCAGCGGGGCCTGCTCCTAATGGTACCCGCTGCCTCACAGAACACTCTAGTCCTAAGTACACACAGCACCCAAATGCAGCCCACTGGTCGGATCCAAGCCATGGCCCCCCAAGGGGTCCAGGACCCCCTAGAGATGGAGAAGACCCTGATCAGAGTGAGGCATCTTCAGAAGAAGAGTCAGGAGCGGACCAGGAACTCTCAAGAGAGAATGAGGCTGGGTACCAAGAGGATGGGAACCCTTCTTTTCTTTCCATTCCATCTGCTTGCAACTGCCAGGGAACCTCTGGAATTCCTGAAGGGTCTTACTCTGAAGGAGGAGATAGCTCTTGTAGCAACTTTTGCCACCACTGTACTTCTCCAGTTTTGGGGGAAGATGAAGAGCTGGAAGAATATGATGAGGAGGAGCCCAAGTTCCCCAGTGATTTTTCACGTGTGCCCAGTGGAAAGAAACCCCCACCCCGGAGACAGCGGCACCGTGCTTCAGCCAAGGAGGATACTCGGGAGGGTGGACGCAGAGATCCCAGGTCCCCTGGTCGACATAGGCTGGGCCGGAAACGAAGTCAGGCTGATAAACGCAGAGGCCTGGGATTGTGGGGAGCAGAGGAACTGTGTCAGCTCGGACAGGCAGGTTTCTGGAAGCTGATCAAACTGCTGGTATTGGTGGGAGAGTATGTGGAAACTTGTGGCCATCTCATCTATGCATGCAGGCAGCTGAAAGGCAGTGATCTGGACCTTTTTCGAGACTGGGTGGGAATCTGGGCAGGGCGGCTGGGGGGCTGGGCCCAGGTGATGTTCCAGTTTCTGAGCCAGGGAATTTGCTATGGGGCGTGGCTGTTCACCCGTTTTCTTAGGCTACTGGGTGCTTTGCTGCTCCTGTTTCTGGCCCTCTTTTTGGGCTGTCTGCAGTTGGGCTGGCGATTTCTGGTGGGACTGGGTGATCGTTTAGGTTGGAGGGGTAAAGCCATCTGGCTCTTCTCTTGGCTGGATTCTCCCACCGTGCAGCGTTGCCTGATTCTGTTGAGAGATAGCAGGCCATGGCAGCAGCTGGTAAGAATGGTTCAGTGGGGTTGGCTGGAGTTGCCTTGGGTCAAACAGAGGACTAACAGGCAGGGGAATGCACCTGTAGCTAGCAGTCGCTACTGCCAACCTGAAGAAGAAATGGCTCGACTCTTGACCATGGCTGGGGTTCCTGAAGATGAGCTAAACCCTTTCCATGTGTTGGGGGTTGAAGCCACAGCATCAGATGTTGAACTGAAGAAAGCCTATAGGCAGCTGGCAGTGATGGTGAGTATTCTTCCCCTCTGTTTCTTGGCCCTCTTTCATTCCCATATTTTCGATTCTAATTTTAGGGAGAGTAGAATAAAGGGAAGGCAGAGAAGAAAGTCAACATAAAGCTGAAGAGGAACTAATTAATTCTTAGGAAAGAGTCCCCTTTGCTATGGGATCTGAATTTCCCTTCATTTTAAGTTTTCTTTTGCCATGAAGATTCTTTTCAATGAAAAGAAATGAACCTGATGTATCAGGCAGTTTTGGACTCACTCACCCTGAAATATCCAGACAGAAGTCCCTCCGACTAGGGTGGAGAAGAGGCCTAGTCAGAAAGCCTGTTAGTTCCTCTCCCTGAATAAATGAGTGTGTTTTGAACACAGGGAAATCCAACTATCTCTCTCAGAAAGGCAAGTGTGGACCTAGTGTGGGAAAGTTCAGGGCATACATGTTAGTGATTATTCCAGGACCAGGTGAAAGAAAAGCTATTTATTTCAAGGCCAGCAACCCAGAGTAGGAAAGGGAAGGAGAATGGAATGTAAATCATATTTATGTGCATGTGTATGTCATACATGAAAATATGGTTGCTTTTATTGATAAAAGGAGAGTTACAGGTGGGAGCTGTAACATACTACATGCTTGAGGGAAATGATTTAATACAAGCATGCAATCACATTGTTATTAGAAGTTGATACTAGATTGCTATTTTTATTTTCTTAGGTTGCTATTTTTAGATGACATTGCTATTTCTGTACAAGTAAAACTATATTATGAATGTAAGTAATGTGTGTAAATTGCACTGGAGGCCTGTTTGACTGAATGTATGGAACTGAACTGGTAAAATATTACAGTGTGCAAATTACTTCAGTGGTTGCATGACACCAAAGAATGGGCAGCTATTGTTCTCATTAACCATTCAAGATACAATAAAGTACCTGATTATAACTTACCAGAGGGCTAAATTAGTTTAGTGGGAAATGCTTGTCCCTTAGTGGATAGCCTGGGATATTCTTAGAGTGGGGAACTGCTTATTCTCAAATTATTAAAAATAGTGGAGCTCTTTTCTCACCTTCATGTCTTTTAGCAGACATCCTCTCTTGGGTAATATTCTTACAAAATTTCCGATTTCCAACTTACTTTCTTGGAATAGAGATGATGTAAGTTCCCTGATCCTCAACACACCTGTCCCACACACTAAAGCTCCAAGTTCTCCCTTGTTCTGGGCCAAAGTGTCTGTTGGTTTCTTTTATAGAAACCTCTCACTCCTCTTATTAGGCTCCAGAGTGACCATGACTAAAAGGCTGTTCTATAAGCTTTGGAATATGGGAGATTAACAGTATTCTGCTTGTTTGGTATCAGTCAGGAGACTAGCTTTATCTTATTTTTTAGGAATGAAGATGGGAACAATCAGGAAGCTGTAGGAAGAGAGGATATTATTTATCTTGGAGAAAAGGCTGAAAATCGGATTTAAAAAAGCCTGTGAGGATCATGATATGCTATTTCATTTGTGGGACAGAAAGGCAAACTATTGTAGGATGTTTTCGTTAGATACAAGAATTTTCTAGTTAGAAAAGAGTGAGTTTGAGGACCTAATATCTTTGGAATTCTTACTTTGACTCACAATCAAGGTAAAATGTGAGGGCTTAGTATGCATGTGCCAGGTAGGGTGACCACCCATCCCTGTTTGCTTGGGATTGAGGGGTTTCTGACACATGAATTTAAGTGCTAAAACTGGGATAATCCCAGGCACAATGGGATGGCAGATCATCCTAGTACCAGATTCTTCACTAAATACTTGACATGTATTCTCATTTAATACTCCCAATAATCCAGGATAGATAAAATATTCTGTCATGTTGCTAGTGACAGAGCTGGGACATGAAATGAGATCTATCTGAAGAGCCAGAGCAATTAATTAAGCTATACTGACTCCAAAAACATGGTGAAAGAGAACCCTTTGACTTAAGGTTATTTTGATCCAAGATGAGGAGAGAGTTGGAATGGATTTGTGATGAAATCTTTGTCTTAGTAGGTTCATCCTGACAAAAATCATCATCCCCGGGCTGAGGAAGCCTTCAAGGTTTTGCGGGCAGCTTGGGACATTGTCAGCAACCCTGAAAGGCGGAAGGAATATGAGATGTAAGTTGGAGATGGGGATTTGTCAGGTGGGGTAAATGAATAATCTTCAATAGCTGAGGTCCCTGGACTAGTGGATGGAGGCTCTCTGAGGTGACTGAGGTTGCTTGTCTTTCTAGTGGCCTCAGGAGGCCAACAGATATGTCTCCCTTTGTCCCTTGCTCAATACCCTTTGATTTACAAAGCCTTTCTTCCCTTAGGAAACGAATGGCAGAGAATGAGCTGAGCCGGTCAGTGAATGAGTTTCTGTCCAAGCTGCAGGATGACCTCAAAGAGGCAATGAATACTATGATGTGCAGCCGATGCCAGGGAAAGCATAGGTATGAAATAGCACAGGAATGGGACAACCACAGCTTAGGGAATAGGTAGTGAAAAACCTTCCTTGTGAGTATGATTGATAGTTGTGGGATGTTGCTGATGAGTAAAAAGACCTTTAGGTTTCCACTTCTGCTATATTGTCAAGAGATTGGGGATTTGAATTAGCAGTAAGAAAAAAAGATATTTTTTAGCTTTGAGATAGAAGGTTGAGGGGAGGGTGTACGTAAGCGTATGTAACAACTGAGTGGAGATAATATATGTTTTAGCCACAATGGTAATGAATGATGAAACTACATCAACACCACAGGCTTGACAAATTATTAAGGAACTGTCCTTTTGTTGGGTTGCAGGAGGTTTGAAATGGACCGAGAGCCTAAGAGTGCCAGATACTGTGCTGAGTGTAACAGGCTGCACCCTGCTGAAGAAGGAGACTTTTGGGCAGAGTCAAGCATGTTGGGCCTCAAGATCACCTACTTTGCGCTGATGGATGGAAAGGTGTATGACATCACAGGTACACTTCTGTCTTCTAGAAATATAGCGCATATATGCTCAAAACTGTGATGTATTGGCTAATTATTTCTCATGCTTATAGAGTGGGCTGGATGCCAGCGTGTGGGAATCTCCCCAGATACCCACAGAGTCCCCTATCACATCTCATTTGGTTCTCGGATCCCAGGCACCAGTGGGCGACAGAGGTAGGTGGTATTTCTTTCAGCAATCTATTTACTATTCTAGTTCTGAATATGGTTTCAGATGACATGCTGTTTAGGATACGTAGATGTCTCACCCTTCAAGAAGTTTGGTAACTGACTCAACATATCTTTAACTTAGGTATAAATAGGTGACATAGGTAACCATTTGACTCTTAATCTCTCGTTTCATATTGTTTTTCTCTCAGAGCCACCCAAGGAGCCCCTCCTGCTGACCTTCAGGATTTCTTGAACCGGATCTTTCAAGTACCCCCAGGACAGATGTCCAATGGGAACTCCTTTGCAGCTCCTCAGCCTGGCCCTGGGGCTACCACAGCCTCCAGGCCCAACAGCACAGTACCTAAAGGAGAAGCCAAACCGAAAAGGCGGAAGAAAGTGAGGAGGCCCTTCCAACGTTGACACTCCTTCTCTTCTTTTTTAAATCAATGTCAGGGAGTCAAAAGGGCTGTGTACAGCACAGGATGGAGTTTGGTTTATTTTTAAATATTTTAAAAAAGGGAAAATTTTAAGCTCAAATTGTTCACTCAGTACTTGTAGGAAGCCCCGGAACCACTCTCCCTCCACCAGCATCCAGAAACTGAATCTTGTCTTCTGACAATACCAAAGAAAATAGGGGGTGGCTAGAGCAAAGAACCTAGGGCATGGACCTGGGCTGGACAATATCTCCCATAGTAGTGTAGGAACTGGGTATTTCCTGAGGTCTGTATGCCTTTGTCTTGTCTTTTGCTTCTACAGCAGATGACACTTTCCACCCTCTTTTTAAACTATAAGTCTATCTTATTTCTTGACCTATTTCAGGAGGGAGCCCCTCCTTTACCCCAATATACTAGTTAAAAGACAGAATAAGAAAGCATGTAGCCCTAATTATAGGAGATACATAGAGTTCAGAGAGGGAGAACTCTGAAATTTTCCTCTGACTTTCACCTTGTGGGTAATTGCCCAACTTTATGCTTGTTACTGCAGGGATGGCCAAAACTAATAATTTTTAAAAAGCAGACTCATTCCCTCTACCCTTGGGTGAGGGGGAAGGATAAAGAGGCTCCTGGCAGCCCCCTTATGATCCAAGGGTTTGTATTTTTTTAAGTTTGTTCATATTTGTATGTACATATCTATTTAAAGCCAGGGATTATCTTTCTATAAATATATAACTGGCAACCTGTATCTTCCCTCTCTTCTTTACCCATGTAGTTGGAGTCCTTTTTCTCTTTTGAGAATCGTTTCTCTACTAAGTTTTAGCTGAGAGTGAAGGACAACTCCTACTGAACCAAGGGAGAAGGGTAAAAGATATCTTAGAGAAGTTTTGTACCTAGGTCACTGTTCCATTTTTTCCCCCAGCCTTATGAAGACATCTCCCTACCCTTCTTGCTGACCAAACTGTAGCCGTATCTGGCAAAAAAATTATCTTTATTATAAGGAAAATACAAGCAAAACAGCTGGAAAGTGGTAGGGGTGGAAGATATGGAAAAACTTAATTACCACACATGGCTTCCTGTGGTGGAGGAAAGTGATTGGTCCCTTACCTTACCTGCCTTTCCTGATTCCAAGAAGCCTGCTCCTAGCAGGGCTGGGCCCAGGGAGCCCTGTTTTCCAATCTATTCTCTTCTTGGAAGTTTAGGAAAGGCTGTATAGTTCTCAAGCTTTCAAGATACAGAAGACAGTATGGAGAAAGGAAGGATGTTACAGCTTTTTGTGCCATAGTCGTCCCAGCCCCATCCCTCAGTATTTATTGATGCCAAAGAGACGGACCCCATGGAATTGGGGCAACTTAGGCAGCAGTACACTGAGCAATGAGGTTGTGTTGATGAGGAAGTGAGCAGCATCATACTTGGTGTAGAAGCTGGCTAGGAGGTAGCTGGGGAGAGAAGAAATAGGTTGAGTGAAGTTAGCCTTCCCTATCCATGTTCATGCCTTTCCAGCAACTTTCTCTATTTTAAATGACCAGTTTTATTGCATGTAGTCCTGGGATATCTGAAAGTACACCAGCAATATTAACAGTATTTACTTTGGTGCTGGGGAGATAATCAGGTAGCACCTTTAACTGGAGATCTGTAAGTTTGTGTGTTTTTTGTTAATGATATAACAGCAAATGACAGCTGAAGCAGTTTCAGTCCGTGTGACTCTTAAACAAGTCTTCTTTGCTTCTACTCTCCACAGTCAGTTTTCAGATTTACATTAGTTCTGCCTTGATTTATTTACTTCTTTTGAAGTGTAAAATCATTTGGTTTTACTTGGTTTTCAGTCCCTTCTCTACCAAGGAGGCAGCAAGGAACATTTGATTATTGCCTGGACTTTTTAACTGTACTCCTTAGATTTAGACCTTCTATGCCATAATATCTTCAAAGAGTCTGAGTAGTCTGCTTTTTTTAAAGCTTTCCTGTGGGCCTTTGTACCTGGGTCTTGGAGCATCTCCCATATCTCCCCCTAGACTTACAGTACAATAGGAGAGATACTGAGGAATTTGCGGGAAGAAGTAAATTGGAGCCCGTAGTCCATCTGTTCCCAGTGTGTCAGTAGCCGAGCTTTTCCTTGGTCAGGAGTCTCAAAGGGTGTCCCTTTCACTGTATGTAGGAAGACATACATAGCCTGGAAGGAGGGAAGGGGGCAGTGTGAAGGGGCAGAATGTAGTCCCTTAGCCCAAGACTTAGGCTAAGATCCCAAAAGGAAGACATATCCCCCCAAAATTCGGGATTTTCCTTTTTTTTGGTGGGAAAGGCCTGGTGTGGGTGTAAGGGTGTGGTTTAGTGCTCACCAAGTTATGGATGACGTTGGTCAGGGTCCAGACAACAGGAATGCTGAAGAAGGGGATGCTGAGTAGAACCACATGCAGCAGTCCTACCAAGGTGATGTAGGCCAGCCAGATGCCCCGGCTACTCATCACTCGAGTGTTGGGGTTTACTTCGCTGTGTGCCACCCCCACATTCATCCTACCACAGTGAGGGATCAGGCAGGAGTCCATCTCAATTTCCTCTCAACCTATTTTTGAGTTCGTTCCCCCACATTGTCTCCTGAATAGCCCAAATCCCCTGAACTCTATTGGGGATGAAAGAACATCCCCATCATGCACAAAGAAAAAACTGAAGACTTGGTGTGGGGGGAACATAAAAGGCAAGAGAGTTCTCTCTACATCTTAGAGACTTACGGTAATCTTTACACATCAACTATAACTTGAAGGAGTAAGCCTAGGCTTTGGGCACCTGCTTCAAGGAGCAAGGGAAACAGGTATCTTACTCTCCTGAAGTTAATAAGGAATCATGAAGAGGTTACATACACCCAGAATTCCAGAAGAGGATCATGGGACACAAAGAATCACTGAGCGGGTAAAGCTACTTCTAATCCCTACCTTTTTTTCTGGGGCTTGCCTGCCCTGTCTCCCATACGCTTGGCATGTAAACAACCAGCATCCCAATTCCTTCTCTCAAGCGTGGGGCGCTGCAAATATTTGCTCAGGGATTTTGGACTGAACTAGGAAGGTACCTGAATTTGAGCGCCTCGAGAGGTGGAGCTCTACCTCCGAAGCCAGGAGCGGCTTTGACCGTCTGAACTTGCCTCTTTAAAATCGTGGTAGCTCTAAAGTTGATGCCTGCCCTTTCCTACCTAAAATTCCCTAAACCCTACGATTGAGCCTGTCCCATGCTCCTCCCAGCTTCCCTCACATTCGTCGGCTCTCCTCAGCGCTCCTCTCTTGGTATTTAACTCGCCGCCGCTCCACCCAATCCACCTCTTCGTCTCCCACCATTTTTCCTCAGCACCCCTTTCCCGTCTTTCGGAAGCCCCTACCTGCCAGCTTCAGAAACGGCTATGGGTCCGACGCTCACTTCTACACCTGTAGTCTCCAGGAAGCATCCGCCCTCGCCCGTCTGCGCTTTCTTATTGGTGGAACAGAATCAGCGCTGCCACCACGCATTGGTTGGCGGTCTGCAATGGGAATGCACAATTGGTCGCTATTTCCGTCGTTCAGAAGGTACAGAACCCGCCCCTCTCCCGGCCCCACCTTGCGAGAGAGGTGGGGAAAGCTGCCTAGAGGAGTGAGAGGGACGTCAGTTATTGACTAATGGGAAGAGTTGATGGTATGAGGTGGTAGTAAGAGTGTCAGTGATTGGTCGTTCCTGGTTGTCTGCGCCTAGGCGGGAGTTCCTGGAGGCGGGGGCAGCGGGTGGGGGCCTAGTGGAGTGGAGGGGTAACAAGATGGCGGCGGAGACGGTGGAGCTCCATAAGCTGAAGGTACCGTGAAAGGAGGAAAGGGCTGACTTGGACTTTTCTGGGGACTGAATTCTGCCAGGTGGCTTGTGCCTTTTCCTACGTGTTCTCCTTGCGGGCTTTTCCACTTTTTTCTGGCTTCCGCCGTAGTTCTTTTGTGCTTCCGATCTTCCCCACTACGCCTTGCCTAATTTCCCGTGCTCTTCACGGCTTTACTGTGTCTGTACTTGTTCTTTCGGCTCCCTTCTTCATCATTATGTCGTCTGCCACTTTTCCACCAGGTTGTGTAAATGCCTTCAACCTGTTCTCTCCTCGTTTTTCGTCAGAGCTGCATTACGTCAGTGGTCCCCTCCTCTTTGCCCCATTCCAGACCTAGGACCCCTTTTTCTTCTCTGGGTTGATGCTTTCCTACCTATTGTCCTAAGCTGAGATTCCCGTTAGCAGATAATGGCACCTTTTTGTATTTCTATCTATCTATGTCTCAAACATTATCCAGAAAATGCTTCCACTCCCTTTCTTTAAATGGGGTTACGCCCCCGGGGTGGGTTGTGGGGGGGACTTTGAAACCTGAAGCGAGGCCTCAGAAGATTGGCCTCCCCACAGAAACCTGGAGATTAGGAGATCTTCAGAGTTAGTAAAGGCACAGATAGCTCAGATTTAAGGTTTTCGCGTTCTCGCGCGCGGTTCTCCGCAGGCCAGCCTCACCTCCCTACCCCCTACCGCCAGAGAGGCAACTCACTAGTAGCTGTAATGTTTTGGAAAAACATTTCCAAGGTTAGGGTTATCTTTGTCCCATTTCATATCGCGGGTGACCCTGCATCTCTTGGTATCACCACTGGGTGACACTCTCAGTCACAGAAGCTGTTATAAGTTGTCTTTTGAGAATTTTGGTAGCTTTCTCACATACAGATGATTATTTTCATGGAAGAACAGAGTAGTTTCTTTTAGAACGAATTGAAGGAATATCCTGATTAGTTGTCCATTGTAGTTTTAGTTTTCCCATTAAATGTTTTGCTCATATCATCCTGGGAACCTTGGACAAACCAAGCCGATTTAGCTGAAGCTTAAAATTGGTCCTTTAAAGGTTGTTGAGCTTAAAAACAAGCAAAAAAAGTAATGAGAGTAAGGGCAGAGAGAGATCTTTTTAGTCACTTATTAGTTGATATCAGTTAGCTTTTTTGTGAAAGTTGATAGATTTCTTACTCTTGGATTCTAAATTGTGCTAGTGAGTTTTTGTGTTATCCTGGAATTACTGTTAACTTGTTACCTGAAATGTGTAGATTATCAGTAGTCTCCTAATACCACAAGTAGAAAAAATTGAGCAACCACCTCCATTGCATGTATACTTGAATAAATTATGTACTACCATACCGTCATGTATGTTAAAAACATACACAGAAAAGGAATTTTTTTGCTATTTAATTTAATTTATTACAAATTAATAAAATAAGTTTCAAGTGTACAATTCACCAGTATGTCAGAAAAGGAGTTTTCGAATGAATGAGATAAAAAGGAAATATGAATAGATGATCAAATAGTTTCTTCCTATTTGTCCCATTTTTGAAACCCCTGGAGTTTGGCACCAGCCTTATGACTTGCCTTTATGGATTTTGTGTTGATTTATGGAGTTCCTCCTTCCCTAAAATCTATTTGTTAGGTCAACATTAAATTTTATTTTGATTGGATAATGTCCTCTGACCTGATTTCAGATATTATAGTCTAAGGGAACACGAGGCACTCCTGACAGCCTAAAAAGGATTCACTCTTTTAATCACATTTGCTTGTCTTTGCTTTTTCTCTAGAGCACTTCTTAACCTTTTGGAGGTCACAGATATCTTTGAAACTCTGATGAAAGGTACGGACCCTCTCCCCAGAAAAAGGCATGTACACATACTTTGCATGCGATTTGAGGGGCTTCATAAAACTACCTTGTAGCCCTGAGGAGTCCATGGACCTCTGGTTAAGAACCTATGCCTTTAATTCTGAATTCCAGGATAGTTAATGTTTGGTGCCACTATTGATCTTGATGGAGTGATCCTAGTTTTTGGGTTGACTTAGGGTTTTCTCTCTTTTTAAAAAAAAAAATCTTTCCATTTTTATGAAGAGATTTTGGGTTTTTAGAATGGGATCTCAGAGGAAAGGAACAAGCTACAAAATAGGAAAGAGAAAATATCATCAGAATTAATGTGTAAGTTCACATTAACTGCAAATTCCTCAAGATTTTGTAGAAATGCTGTCATTCTAACATAGTTGTAAGGAGAGACTGAATTGAGGATCAAAATGCTTTGAACTGTAATAGTAGTAGATTTCTAGTCAATGGTGAGAAAAGGGACTACTGCAGAGGAGAGAAGAAGGGTATACTAATGCCAGAGTGTTGAAAACCAGTGAGATGTATGTAATATAGAAGTATGAAGTGCATATATGTTGGTGGTTGAAGGTCATTTGTAAAGGGAACTAGGTAAATTATGTGACTATAAAAGTAGATTGGAGTAATACTGAAAGGAGCCTTTTAAGTTGTGTAAGGCATTTGGTTTTTGTCGTGAAGGCGGAAAGTGGAGAGCCTTTGTAAATTTGAAAGGAACTGGTGTGATCCATGTCTGTTCTTTTGGCAGTATGGAGAATGGGGCCTGGAGAGGGAGAGATTTCACCAGTTATATTTTTTATTATAGAAGTTACTCCCCTGCTTAAAACCTTTTAGCCTTAGACTACCTACCAATTTCTCCAGCTTAATTTCTTACACTCCAACCACAGTGGCTTTATTTTATTTCATTCCTCAAAATGAGTGTGTTCATTAATTGCTAACACTTACATAGCATTTACTGTGTGACAAGCACTGGTAGAAGCTATTTACATATATAAACCTCTTTAATTTTCACAATAACCCTGTGAAGTAAATGCCTCTATTATTCCCATTTTAAAATGAGAAATGGAAGCTCAGGGAGATTAACTAAGTAACTTGCCCTAGGTCCCACAGCTAATAAGTGGTTGATCAAATATAGGTAGTTTATCTCCAAAATTCCTGCTCTTAATCACTGTACGCTACTACCTCTCCTTACCTCAGAACCCAGAACCTTTACACATGCTTTTTTGGCTGCAGTGTTTCTGCCACCCCCATCCTCCACATTTTCATTTAATTAACTACCAGTTGCTCTTCAGTCATCAGTCATACATCTACCCAAGGAACCCTTAAGGTAGGATGGGTTTTCCCTATCCACACACATGGTCAGACCACGTTTTAAATGCTTTCATAGGACGCTGTACTTTTTTATCATTTAAAGTATTATGTATATGATCATTGATTGCCTTGTTATTCTACCATATTGTAAGCTTCATGTGGGTAAGAACTCTTGTTTTGCTGTATCTAAGATAATGCTTGATATGTAGGGGATACTCAATATAACTTTATCAAGTGAATAAACTTAAACCTGAAATAAGGGAGTGGCTATTAGAAAGGGAATGAAATTGAAAAAAATTTGGGATGTAGAATCGTTAAGTATTTACAGATCACTCAGATGTGGGAGGAATGAAAAATGACTCCAAGGTTTAAGTAGTGATACCTTTAGTCTAGGTTCAGAGGAAATGAAGCCATTTTTCTGCAGGATAGAAGGTAAGTTCAGTTTTGGGCTTGAGTGTCTTTGAAACATGCACTAAGAGATGTCGGTAGTCAGTTGGAAATATGAGTCTCCTGCTCAAGAGTTGAGAGTTGATACAAGGGTTTGGAACTTTTTCAGAAAATATTTATGGAGTACCTACTATATGTCAGCTAACATGGTGCTGGAGATAGAGCAGTGACCAAAGCAGAAAAAATTCTTGCTGTCAAGGAGCTTATGTTTTACTGGGAGAAGGCGCAATAAAGTAAAATTTATAGTGTTCCAATAGTGATAAGGTCTGTAGAGAAAAATAGGAAAGCAGGATAGGGAGTACAGTAGGAAGAAGGGTATTGTAATTTAAAATAGGGTGATGAGGGAAGGCTTCATTGAGAAGAAGATATTTAAACAGAGACTTGAAGGAGGTGAAGGTGTGAGCCTTGCATAAGTGATCATTAGGACTCTGGCTTTTACCCTTAATGAGTTAGGAGACCAATAGAGGATTTTTGAATAGAGGAATGACATGTTCTGACTTAAGTTTTCAAAAGATCACCTTGACTACCTTGTTGAGAATAAACTATAATGAGGCACGAGGGCTGCAGAGGTTTTACTATATGTATTTAAAACCAGAAGGGATTAGATTCTGGATATATATTGAAGGTAGAGCCAACAGAATTTGTCAGTGATTTGATTCTGGGAAGTGAAAAAGTCTTTGATACAAGTGGAATGAAAAGGCCAAAGATGGAGTCTTAGTGAACATCAGTATTTACAGGGTGGAGTGGAAGGAGAGCTAGTAAGGAGGCTGAGAAAGAGAGGGAAGAAGAAAACGGAAAGAGAAAAAGAGAGGTAGAGCTAGAACGTGCACATGAGAGCAGTGTCAGGACCTTGATAGTTAAGATTGGGCTTAAATCAGAGAGACCTGAGCTGGCATATTGACTCCACTGTTTTTTAGCTGTATGATTTTTAAGCAAATTATTGAATCTCTTTAAGCCTCATTTTCTTAATTTATAAATTGGGATCATAATACCAACTACTTAGGTTTGTTGTAAGGATTAAGTAAGGAAATCACATTACAAATACTTAGCCCTTTGTCTGGAATGTATTAGTACTTGAAAATAAATTTGAGTTCCTATTGTATGAAATGTTAAAAATGATATGAAATA